CTAGCAAAGGCCACGCCCACATTATTTTCCACGCTATAAGCGTTCCGTAATCGGTGTTGGAAAGTCAGCTATTAAGGCAAAAGTTGAAAAAAGGAATTATTAACATAAAAGAGCTCCTAATTTAGTTTAAAAACTCTTGATCGAAAAATTTGCAAAATGCTAACCAAAGTTAACCACTTTGAGGGGCTTAAAGGTTGAAATTTTGTGGTTATAAAAAAAAAAAAAAAATTACCAAATATATAATTTCTTATAAATAGATAAATATTAAAAACAACAATCTGTATATCGCGTATTTAGATACGCATTTAGTTTATTTATCCAAAGGGAAAGCAAAGTTGTTATGAAAAACGTAGAAACAAGCTTCAAAATGAATAGCTGCCTTATCTCCTTTATTCTACTCGCAATAAATGTTGGTTTTAAATAGCTGGCAGCACTGGCCATAATATATGCGACTTCCTGCGAACAGCCGGAGGACCATAAATTCCGTGCCCGAACTCACGGACAAGCGCCGTCTGTCGCCAAGGATCACGGAGGTGACCCCGACTTTGCTGCATATTTTTGTAAATAATATTATAGTAAATAAGTTTATGCTATTAAGCGTCTGCTGGTGCCATCGGCGTTGTTTGCCCTCTCCCACGGGCATTGTTATCTATGGAACGCGTGTCTGACGCGGTTTCATTGCGGAGTAAACAACTTTGTGGCCGGCCGGGTAATTAAGGAGCCCGCTCGGCGTTGCGGTTTATAAATGGCTGAAATTAAAACGACAATATAAAGCTGTCAGCGACACTTTGAGTTGGGTCAATTGTGTCTCGGGCAGATAAGCCGGGGATTAAGCGACTAAGCAACAGTTTACAAAACAGGAAGACGATGAGGAAGGAGCTTGTGGTGGGGCGACAATAAAACTGAACAAAAGTAACCAGAGGGAGTCCCCTGTACAAATGAATATTCAATTACATGGCAGGTGTATTTGATTTGATTTCCTCATCGCACAATACGCAAACAAATTAAACAGCCGGAGAATTCAATTTGATTGCATAATAGCAGAGTCGAATTCCTGGGGGAATATTTACCTCTAATTTTCGGTAGCAATCTAAGAAATATCCCGAATGAAAGCAAAGCCAGTTATTTTCTATTCTCTGTCTAAATAGTGCAAGTGCAAACCCACAGACTTAAACCCTTTCGGAAGTCGACTTAAAGTACAAGATACGGGTACAGCACTAAATAATTGCCTTCTCACTCCGACAGTTTTCCTTCTTAGCCAGAAAACAAGCAGAAACTGGTAGACATTTTCGATGGGGCCATAAATCTCGACCGGCCGAGCGAATGTGTGTCAGCTTAGCGTTTAAAAGAACAAGCAGGATGCCGCAGTAATGCCAAAATAGCCAATTTCATGGCTAGTGTAAATCAAACACACCTGCAATTAGGCCAACACATACACACGCACACACACGAGCACCCACGTAAAGGCTCACCCGAGGAGCGGACAGAGCTATTTAGGCAATGGCCCCAGAAACAATTTCTGGCAATTGCCGGCAACTCATTAACATGCAGCTCTCAACCTACACCCAGAAAAATTAACTCTGTTAATATAAAAACTAAAAAGGCATTTTTAGGTCGGCTAAAACTGTTTTCCTGTTTGCAAAACTATCTTATTAAGTGAATTTCCAATATAAGCTTAGATAGTTTACTTATACCTGCCATGTTAATATTTATTCTTGTATTAATTTGCATAGTTATTTTTCCAAGTGTACTAGCCTCATCCTCTCAAAGGCTAAGCCATTGTTTGGCCATCGTTCCGTTGTTGCTTGACGTTGGAGTAGCTAATTTTTAGGGACCACAGGTGAAAAGGGGGAAAGTCGGTTGTATTTTCCCCCGTTGTTGTAGTATCTGTAACTGTATCTGACCAGCCATTAAACGCAGCCAGGGAAACACGCTAGGGGCATGCTAAAAGGGGTCGGATAACTGGTCTCACCTCGTCCACCGATCCCCTCCGCAAAGCTGGGGGCACTGAAAAAAGCCAAACATAAACCAAAAACTGTTGAAAGTGGCGCAATGCCTAAAAGTTTCGAGCGCTGGCTGAAACTTGCGACACTGCAGCAGATAAAATGGCCCAAAGAGGATATGCACATAGAAAAAAGTGCATTCGAGGGTCCTTCGCATGGCCACTTTGAGTTGCTTTGAGTTTGGCCAAAATGAATTCGAGGCACGGCAGCGGAAGCAATTGTGTTCGCTTTAAGGCGCCTCAAAGGGGATTATGATAAATCGCAGGCGGGGTGCTGGAAAACGAAATGCAATCAGCTCAGGAGATTGGCGGGGAAGTCATAAATATGTATAAGGGAGAATTTTATTACCTATATTCCCTGTCAAGACAATTTCGAATTAAATACGCTAGTTGGATCCGCTCAAAGAAATAAATTATAAGAAGACCTACGTTCATCTTCGAGATTACATTCTGTTACACTGTGATAAAAGATTAATATTGACTAATAAAGTAAGAGGTTATTCTAGAAAACAAGTTTAATACAAATAAATATTTTAGTATAGCTCAAAAAACAGATTATTTTATATATGATAGCCATATTAAAAACAATTCGGATTACAAATTAAATGCTTTAAGTAATCGTACGTTTTTGTAATTATAGGTATTGAATTTTTTTGATAAAATATGTATGTTATAAATCATACCTTATCATAAGTGAGTTCGTATTCGCTCAGAATTCTTGACAGTGTGGACAAAGAGCTCTTCTCCCCCTTCAAATAATTAAGGCGAAGTACATGTCCAAAGGAGCTGCGGGGGTTTTGAGCGGATGCATTGGCTGTCAAAGGTGTCGAGTCGAACATCTGAACAACGGACAAGTGCAAGAATCCGCGGGATGAAAGCCCTGGAGTGCGGCACTCCTGCCATCCTTCAACTTGAAAGACACCCTTGGGGGGAAAAGCAAGGGGCATCAGCGGGATGCAACGAAACGAAACAAAAGCACGGCTGTCCATCAATGACTCCGTCTGTTTTTACGCTGTCCGTGGGTCAGAATGCTGTTTGGGCTGCCATTTAATTCAATGACGGACAACAAAGCATTGCCACTGGGATGCAGTTAACAGAACAGTGAGGAAGCGCCAAATATGTGCAAGCAAAGCCTGAAAGGCCGCCACTTCCAACGGGCACGCCCATCAGCCACCCGCCTTCCACCCACCGCCCCCAGCGACGTCATACAAAACAATTTCCCCTGGAGAGTTTCCATGTTCAGTTATTCGTATGTGAAAAAGCGCATCTGTTGTTGATTGTGTGAACTTCCTTTCAATCGTTTGTTTGTCCTTCTTTTTTCCCTTCAGTTGTCGTTGTCGTTGTGTTTTTGTTTTTTGTTTGTTGCTTGTTTGTTGTTTATTCTTATGGCCCTGTTGTTGCCTTTCAAGCCGTTACCGTTTTTGTTGTTGCGGGTGTTATTGCTGTTATTCGCTTCTGGCGAACGCCAGCAGCTTAGATAGTTCTACACCACTTTCCTCCACTCGAGGGGTATTTCAAGTTTTCAACGAAGTTGGTACTAAGGCGGTTTCATATGAGTGAATGCTATCTGAAAACTTAATAAGTGGAAGAAACCTTTCAGTTTTTAAAAACAAATTGAGCAGAAAATACATTTACAAATGTTTTAAACCTCAAGTATAACAACTCAATTTACACTCAAGATTTATTGAACAGCAGTACATTAGTAAACTTTCATTTTCCTCCCAGTATTATTCAATTTTATACTTTATTTGGTCAAACTTTCGTTTAATCGACCTTATTGTATCTTACACTAAATTTGCATATAGGTATTCGGCTCAAATTGACTATGAATTACTTTTCATAAACTACTCAAAACATTTATCAGTTCTAACTCACTTTCACCCTGCTCTATTGGGAATTATTTATTTCTCATTCATTCGTTCGGAATTATTTTAGGCAAACAAAAGCAAATGCAGATCTGAATCCCGTTTAAAAGGGAATTGAAACTTCTGTTAAACCAAGTTTTCAATCGACCGATTTATGCGCTCTATTTGAAGCACAGTGGTCTCCCCTAAAATGCGATTTTGCCTGTGTAATCTCCCTGAAAAGCACATACAACATTCGTGTTTGATCCGAAGGGATTTTCAATTCCACATGCTGCTGCGTCTGGGCATTCCGCTTATAATCCTTGCTGGGCATCTTTAGAAACAATTGCATCTTTTGTGCAAATAACTTTATAGGATGCGACCGAAAAAACGGAGCTCAGGACCGTTTTGGCCAAGGAACGTTGACATCGAAGGGGGGACATCGTGGGTGTCTGGGAATTCACCCGAGTGCCAGGAGGTCACTGCTGTGCATTGTGCAATTTATTTATTGCACACAAAACTTTCCCGAGCAAGGAGAAGGAAAAGGAGCAGGCGGAGCAAGTTTGCGAAAATGAGATAGTCAGTGGCATTGTTTTCCCAAAATGAAGGGAGTAATGTCGACCCGCGGGAACGTCAACATCTCCGAGTAATAAGTAGCCAGCTGATGACATAATAGTGCTCTCCTGCGGCAGCTCCCAGGATCAGTTGAGTTGGTCGTTTATTATAATTTATGGCGGCGGCTTTTAAGCAGCCTGCCAGCAATAAAATGGAGCCCGAGACCCGAAATTTTTAGAATAAAAAGTCAACGAAACCGGAATAAATTTCAATTTAAATTAAACCTTAAAGCCGGATCCACTGGATTTCGATGACGTCAATGGCGGAGTAAATTGCCCAACCGACATTTCAGGCAGGCGTCGCTAATCCGCGGCACTTAGTAAACAAATTGCCCCACATAAACAATTCTAATTGAGATGAACGATATGGCCGTGTACTTACATCCATGCAAACCAGTCAATCGGATCGCTCACTCTGCGGCAACTAAATGCTAAATGCGAAGTAAGTTAACCGCCCATCGGTGGGCGGCTTTCTGCCTTTCTCCTGCGGGCGGATTTGCATTGCCCACCGTCATAAAATGGAGCATAAATTTCACTTACTTCTTCAGCGTGGCAGCCAATGCCAAATCGGGGCGTACATCAAAGCGGCTCTGCATATAGAAGCGCAATAAATTATCGCGTTCATTTTCACGTAATCCTTCCTCGAGTGCTAATGCGGCCAGTGTATGATAGGATTCTGACTCCGTGATGCCGAATAATAAATCATAACTGGAAGAGAAAGAGCGGGTGAGTGGGTGGGGTGAGTATTGGTTGGTCACGGGGGAGGTGCGGTTGTGGGAGTGGGTTGGAGCAGTCAACATGCATAGTTTGTGTTTGCCGTGCTGGCCGAAGGCTAGTTACGTGCACTGCGGAAAACCAGGTGACAGTTCATTTGGGAGGTGTCAAACGTACGTATTCTGAGCTGTTCGGTTGTGAGAAGCAGTCATAATTATAATTTATATTATGAAAGTACAGAGTACTTCTTCCACAAAAGATACTGTGAAGTATCTATGATTTTAGATGACAAATAAAAATAATTAGAGAAATTAAACTTTATAAAAGCTTTAGTTTTTCTCTTTTCAATTGTATTATTTAAGGTTCGAACTTAAAAACTTAACTTAAAAAGCATTTAAAAATGTACCTATATTGAAATTTTATAACGTTTTCACTAGAAGATTCAAACGTAGCGTACAATTCCACAGTATACAAATTACTTTATGAAAATTTAAGTATGAATTTTCATAATTAAAACGGCTTGTAGAGTCTATTAGTTATGTTCGTTACCGAATAAAGTAGAATTACTGTTTACATTTCTTTTAGCAATTTAAGCAATCTCTTCATTAATGCCAATCATTATCCCAAGCTCTCCACCATTCTATCGCTAGTCATTTAAATAGTTTTCAGTGCACTTTCTGAAAGGGGGGAACGGCAGTCAAATGAATTCCCATAAAACGCAGTTAAAAGCACTAAAATAAAACGAGTTCTCGTTCCTGTGGCGTAACTTGTTACGCCGCCTGATAAATGGTGCGACTGGCACTCGTCTATGGAAAGTGCTCCTCCGCTCCGCTCCGGGATCCCGGCCACGCCCCAGTGGAGCCCCTTGGGCCACCCAATGCCCAATGCTCCACTGGGCAGCTGGGCAACTGGGCAACTGAGCATTGTCTTCCTGTTGCGCCGTGGACATGGCATTAAAAGTTCCACTCAAGTTGGGCCGGAAAGTTGCTACGATAAAAGTAAATGCAAAGCTGCTGCAAAACTTGCTAAATTGAATGGAGATGCCGATGGAATGGCAACCGGAGACTTGAGCGTGCTCGAGCACCGCTTTTCCTGCACTTTGCGAGGACCTTACTCATCTGGGAAGGCTTTAATCCATGGTCATCGCTGATTACGGTGATTAAAAGCCAAAGTGGAGGGGAACCGCCCCCCGAAACAACAGTTCCGGCCGTGTGAAACGTGCTTCCACCTCGGTTTCCCAACTCAACCGTGACCTGACCCTCTCCGCCCGGAAGTCTCCCTGTTTGCCGTAATTAATGGCTCTTCCTGGCAGCTATTATTCTATTTTTCCCGGCACTGCGTGTCAAACACGTTTGACTTGCAAAAGGATAACAATTAAAATCAAATTAATCACGCATTTTATTAGATTATACCGTGTTAGGTTGACTGAATGAGCAGCTAAGCAGCACGTGCCCTAATGTCCTCCGGGAAAATGCGAGTGCGGAAGGAGTCCTGCCCGAAGATTTCCTACGCGGTGCGGAGTCCTGCGAGGAGTTGAGTTATTACTTGTTGCCCAATTGATTGATGGATCGGTGTAATTTATAAGGAGGCATCCTTGCCCAATCTCTCAGAGATGCCCTTTGATCCCTCTCGAACATTATTTGTATTAGGCTTATTTAATTTGCTTTTGCCACACAGGAAAAAATTTAAATGCTTAAAATCTAATCACAAGATCTTTCAAATAAACTCTTACAAACTTTACATTTTCCTTATTAATTTACAAGTTTATTAAATTCTGTGCGTAATTCGATGTGGAAATAAATTTATGACTAAGGCAATTAAATCGTAATTTAAATTACGGAAAACCATTTTTGACTAATCTCGTTACTGACCACAAAATACGATTATCTAGCCCCTGGCGGTATATTGCTCAAATATTTAGATTTTCCTTAGTGCGGGCTCAATATTATTATTGGCTTTTAATGTTTCACCTTCAGGCTGACCGCAGGTGAACCCAATGCCCATCCGAAATGGCCGAAAAGGAAGGCTCAATGGGTGTTGAAGTGAATGCTATTTCGGCAACCATTCAGCTCTACAAGTGACATTCCAGCCGCAATTTGCTTGATGATAACCGAGCGAACGCCAACGCAAAATCGCAGTGTTAAATGGTTTACCCCAGGCCCCGATTTTCACAGACGATTTGACTTCACCTGAGGCCAAACGCACGCACCGGAGAAAAAATACCAGACGTCTAATCAAGTAACGCACAATAAATAGTCCGTTGAGCTGTCTGTCCGGGCCAAATGCGAAAAAAGGAAGGAATGTTTGACAGGTCCCAAACGTACGGTCCGCCAGTAAATATCAAACGCAAAGGAATTGGCAATGGTTTAGGTTAAGCTTTTGGCTTGGGCTGGGGTCGGGGTTGGGGAAAAGCAATCGCAATGGATGTAAACAGGGAGGGAATTGCTTAACAAACCGGCTGAAGTGCTCCGTATAATGCCCCATGACCTTGTACGGTTGATTTGGTATAACATGTCCATCGACAATTGGACCCAATGATGTTGAAAATTGTGTGAGCGCCGTCGGTATGTGCAAGATATCCTGGTAGCTGCAAAGAAACAAGAACGGCACAAAATGCGTTAAAAGGTCTCGCAAACGAGTTGGGCATAAATGTAGGAGTAGACGGATGGATTCTGGATTCTGGAAGAGGGACCGCCGCTGGGATTGAAGCGGCCCAGCTGGCTGACAGCGGTCACTTTTCACTTTGATTTGAAATTTCTAATAAATTTTATGTGTGATTTGTTGCCCGACAGTCACTGGCACGTAACACACACACGTGGTCCACATAAAGCCAACGAGATGGCCTACAAGATACGCATATGGTCCTTGGGGCATTTCGAAATTACCACGCAGAAAATTAAAAGCAACTCGAACCGGAGGAAATTTTTTAGTGGCACAAATAAAAGGAACATAAGGATCAACTGCTTTTTCTCCCTTGATTATAGGTTATTGTTTTTATTTGCTGCTTAAGCTGATAACAGGGGTTAAACAAACCAAGGGTAAATAAGTCTTTTTCCAAGTGTTTTCATCTATAATTCTATGATAATAAAACATATATTAAAGAAACATATCAAAAACCAACAAATGACATCCTACTGCTGCCACATATGTCTGCATGAAAAACATTTAAAGACATTTACTTCAACACAACATCTAAGAGTCTCTTCCACTTGGATTAACGTGCCTGTTCCAAACTTAGATGTCTCCCCAGTTACGTGCGCAAAATTATAACCCAAAACGAAAGGGAAGAAAATCCCCCGGCTCATATTCCCTCTATTATCGTACTTTTCGTATTCACATATTCAAATTTGGCTCAGAAGTAACCGAATGCCTTCCATCAACGTTTGTGCTCTTATCAGTGGCACTTGCGTTGCTTCCTGTAGTTATGACATTTTCGAAAAGTATTTTTTCCCCATTCAAAGCCATAATAGAGCCGCAATGCAAACCAATTCCCACGCACAACCTCGCCCGGATTTACACTCGAATTTGTGTGTGTGTGTGTTGCCAATACAAACAGGAGAGCGCATCCCTTTTCCGACATAAAAATGCTTCGTCGAAATGAAATACAATCAGCACACATTCAGAATGTTCCCGCGATCTCTGGTCTGAAGTTGCTCCTCCTGCAAAGCATTTCCGTTCGGTGCAATATTTACGCTTTTTGCTCTTTTTACCCGCTTGACTGGCTCTTTTGGCCTTCGTTTGGGCCAACCCATCGCTCCCCGTATTGATACAAAATTGCAGTGGCGAAATGGTTCAGTTGGGTGCAATTTCTGGCATAGTTTGCATAAAAATCCACATGCCAGTGCTCCAACTGAAGTGTCGATGGCACAGAAATTGGCACAAATTAAGAAAAGGACCGACAAAAAATATAACAACAAGAAGTGGGGGAGAATACGAGAATCTGGAATATTTTGGCTGTCGGAGCTGGACAATTGTTATCTGCAGAATGCAGACCAGAAATGAACCAGCTGAGGTGGAAATGCTTGTAGTAGAAATTCAAATGGACAATCTGCACGCTCAGCTTTGCATAGTCACAATACTCGGTTCGCCTTCTCCAATGATTATGCGAATGTGCCCGAATTAGGGCCCAAACGCTCTTAATCATTCAGTCCTCTTTTGCCGGGATTGAACTTGAGTCAAAGCAGCTCTGGGGAAAATCAATTGGAAGCGATGACAGGGATTCCAATCCCCCATCCATTCACATGCTAAGCCGAAAAAATACCGAAAATTGCCATCTGTCGCTGGATGTGTGTGTTAATTCACTCAACACCTTGGGAACCCATTCGAGAGGGACATTATCGTAATCCATTTAAGCTGAGAGCTGACTGCAGCATCCGATGCAATGCCATCAAACACTTTCCCGAGCAAATAAAGTTTTCTCGCTCTTTAAAGGAACTTAACTGGGATACAGTAGAAGAAACTGTATGCTGAAAGAATGCGAGGCTAGCTGAACTTAAAAAAGTTCAGTAATCGAATCATTATTGTTATATTTTAGTCTAGATGAAGCACTTCTGTTTCAGACAAAACATAGTTTAAGGTAAATGGAAGTTTTTTTTGTGCAGGGAAAGTTCTGCTAGTTTGACTTAAAATTCCAGAATGTGGTTTAGAATAGCGAATTGCTTTACTTAACGAAATATATAATCATTTTTATTACATCTTACTCCAGGTTGCTCACTTCTGTTTTAGACATAACATAGTTTCAGGTAAATATGTTTTTTGTTTAGTGCAGGGAAAGCTCTGCAGCACATGTTCTTGGCTTATGTGGTCATTCTAGGCTTGGGCCATCGACATCAGCAGATGGCCAACTTTATTGCTGGAGTCTGGACCGCACGGCCACAGCTACGTGAGGTTGTGTTTTCCTCTGACTTTGACAATTTGTGGAAGCTAAAACAATCCGGGAAAGTGAGTTGTGCCCCACCGATTTGGGGTCCTGCGAAAGGACCCCTTCGCCGGAGAAGTTCTTGAATCTGCTGCAAAGTTGTTGGCCAAGGAGCTGTGTGATTTATGATTTTCATATGGTGAAGAGTTTATTCCTGGCCCGTTGTTGCTTCTTATTAGCTCGACTGGTGCAAAACTGTCACAAGTTGAGCTGCAACTGCGATTAACTCGTTAGACACACGATATGTGCGATTTCTCTCTATATATTGTGTGCGGTGGCACAGATACAGAAACTGGATACTGGATACTGGATACTGTATACTGGATGCACAATTTGTCAGTGTGCTCGTGGCAGAAACGAAGATTGATGATGTCCTTAAGGCTGCATGTAGCAACTTCAATGAAACACACACACTCACACATGATTGCAGGAGTCCTTTGCAGGCCAACCAAACATTTATTATGCCCCAGTTTGGCCTTGTCCTATCACGGCTCCAGTTTAGTTTTAGTTCGTACTTGGGCTTTTGGCCCTGCTTAAGCTGTCTGCATCTGCTGGCTTTCTATTTAATGAATTTTTAATATGCTCTGCCTTTTATTTTGCCAATTAGAAGCGCTCCACAATGCACAATGCGAACACATGGTTACACACAAGGCTATGGATTATTTGTGGGCCTTCATGGCGTATACTCGATGCGCTATTGGTTTTGCTCTCTTTGTTGCATTTTTAAGAAGATTAAATATATAGAAAAAATGAATTTAAGATGTAAGAGTATGCTTTATTCAAATCAAGCAGCTTAAATCCAATTTAAACATACATAGTATTCACGTCGGAGTTTGTCTTAATTGATTCTGAAATTACAAGCTATAATCTGCCGAACAAAATATTTGCATAGGCAGAAGTCCAAAGGAACGCATTGCTCATTTCTCGGCCAAGTGGCAATCGGGAACTAAGGCATTTAAGCATACATTTAAGACAATAGTTTAGACGAGCCTGGCCAGAAGTAAATAAAGATCACATGCCCTGTTTGGCAGGCAAACACATTAGGCCGGGCCAATAGGTAAATAATTTGAATAAATTAACAAGTTGGAAGGGCACACATTCAAATCAATGGCCAGGACTGGGGGAAAAGTTGTATTAAATATGTACGAAGCCTAAGACTCGGAGACAAAGGCTTATGCCTGTGTGTGTGAGAGTGGGTTAAACAAATGCGACTGTGACTCTCCGCTTGTTTGCACAAGTAGTTGTTACCTGTTTGTGTTTCAGTGACTGTGTGTGAGTTGTGTGCCTTTGCTGCAAAGCGATGAGCACATTTGCTCAGTAATTCATGCATAATTCATTGCATTCATTTAACACTCGCTCTGGCTGGCACACATGCTACTTAACCACCACTCACTCACTCATTCACTCGTTCACTCGCTCAGTTGTTTAAGTAAGCTGCCACACGAGGCTGCAATTCTCAGGCTTAAACCGAAGCTTAGCTCGCTCATTAAAACATTGCAAAAGCTACTTGTCGGTAGGGGAATTCATACTGTTTAAAGCGCTAGATGATCAGTAATGACTGGATGAATGGCACTCTCAATATATATTGACAAAAAAAAACAAAAATATTGGTTTAGTTAATCAAACATCACAATTTTTAAGTGTTATTAAGATTAAATAAATTACGCAAGTAAATAAATAATATTTGTTTCTTATGTCATATAACAATTTTTACAAAAGGATTGTATTTTCCATATTTAAATTCTTCACTCTAATATTTATTAAATAGAGCCTATAGAATTCGTCAGACTGCCACTACTGAAATAGGCCATTTACGTCAGCAAAAGTTTTGGCTTGAGTTTCCAAGTTCCTGTGCCAATTTGTATTAAGGACAAGAAAGCAAGTATAAAGTTTTCGAAGACACACACTCTCTCAAATAAAACCGACTGTTGCATCAGTGTTTGTTGGCTGAATGTGTGTGGGTGAGTGTGTGCTGGCATAATTAACATAATTACTATTATTGTGCCGCTGTTGATTTAGTTTTGCATATTTAGTTACATGCGCTTTTTTCGTTTTGTATGCAAATTGTTTTTTAGTTTTCTCTTGTGTACTCCTCTTCGCATACAAATGAATATCCTCACACACAAGAACAGAAAGGCCCACCCACACATGCATTAAATTCGCTAAATAAAAAATGCATTTAAGTCGGGTTGGTTTTCAAGTGTTTTTTTATGTCGGTTAAATGGAAAGGGATACCATTCTGATAGGATAAGCCGCTGATATGCGTGCAATGAATATGAAATATGAATAATTTGAAGCAAGAGATGCTCGTTTGAAATAATATTTTATAATTAAACATGTTTACAAATTAAATGTGCAGGTAAAACCATTTAAAATGATTCAAAGGACACTCGTAATTGTTGTTAATAACATTAAATTTTATCAATTATATTTTAGTCGAACATCTCTGTTGAAAAATATATGCTCCTAGTTTGCTTCCAATGTCTATTCAATTGTGGTCTTAATTAAAGTTAAATTACCAACTGATTGAAAAATGAAACAAAACTAAGCCAGTTACTTTTGTTTAAAATTTGCGGTTCAGTAAACTAACGAGGTATTTAAAGCTCAGTGCTGATTCTTTGTGTTTTGGTCATTAAAAACTTTAGTGGACAGAAAAACATTTTTTTAGCGATACTAGGCGAGAAAAAAAAAGGAATCGCTGTACTGGATCCAACTGAAGCCTAAGCATGAAAAGTTAATCAATTAAAAAGTAATTAAGTTTGAACCTTGCCATCCATCATCGAAGGGAAGGCGTCCACTTCCTTAAAAGGGCACTTAACCAAAGTGGACACAAGAGCTTTCCAGTAATCGCCATGCAAAGTCCGAACCATCGACATGGACATTACTCGTGATTAGTCAAGGTCCTGGTTGCGGATTTTGAGGGGGTATTGAGTCCCAAGCCTTAACGCCTCATTGACAACGCTGTGCTCCAAGCTCGTAAATTTACCGAATCATTAGGCTGGTCACAAAGCCGCCAAATTCTATTGGTCTGACGAATTGAATCAGAGGACGCACAACACTATTCAAATGAAGATACCAAAGCAAATGAAGCTGCTGGATTTACATTTACCACAACAGCATTGGGTGTAATAACAGTAAGAAAAATTATATAATGTTCCTAACTTACTCCGTCTGTTTGAGAAACAATATAATTCATAAAATAATAAGAAATAATTTGCGTAGTATTTTTTATTTTCTTAAAATTAATTTACTCCAACAGAAGACGTAAAGCAATTTATAGTGCTTTTCTGTTGGATAGCTTAAAACGCTCAGAGCAATTTGATTTCAAATATTTCCTCTCAGTGTAAGCTGAAAGGCTTTAGCCGACGTTACGGCTGGTTATAATGTGCCGCATATCGCTTATGCGCTCTTTGGGTGGCTGAATAATTCAATTGGTCGAGGACTACTCACCGACGATGGCGCAAACAATCGAGCAGGACATCCTCGTCCTCCGCGTCCACGTGCTCGTTCAGAGGACAGTCGAGGGCATGGGCGATTTGCATGGTCAGTTGCAGCGACTGATTGCTGGCTGCCCAGTCGGACATCGCGGATCCGGACATCAGGATGGCGCGGTGGAATAGGCCTGCGGGTAGGGAGGGGGACACACAATAAATGTCCGCAATGTGCTCCCATCGTATTATGTCGGTTGTAGTCTGGGCTGGATACTCACCTGAGGCCACTGGCGATACCATTAGGTAATTGACGCATGCCGCACCCGTGCTGTGACCCATCAAAGTGACACGCGAGTTGTCGCCGCCGAAGGCGCCGATGTTCTCCTTGATCCAATGCAACGCCGCAATCTGATCCAGGAGTGCGTAGTTCGCTATGTTGTGTGCGTCGATGCTGGGCCGCAGGAATCCTTTAAGCGAAACCGCATTAAGGACCCGCCCTGCAGGCAGAGATTTAAAGGGACCAACTTACCCAACACTCCCAGGCGGTAGTTTACGGTGACCACAATCACCTCTCCATAACTCGAGAGCACGGATCCGTCGTAGGGATTGCCACTGTTCCACTCGAAGGACTCGCCGTGCAGATACACCAGCACAGCATACTGTTTCGGGACGCTCTGCGGCTCTAAAATGGTGGCATTCAAATTGCAATAAGTGGATGCTTGATGTATATTTACCAAAAAATCTTAATATATATATTTTTTTCAATATGCAATTTTTTGGAAAGGCCAAAAAAAATTATACATTCCTTTCATTTTGTTTTCTTATTTATTCCTAACCATTTTTGTTTGAATCGGTTTTTACAACTTCAAAAAAATTACTTATTATATAAAATTCGTGCGGCTCCAATAGCTTGTATGGTAACTTTTAAAAATATATAAGCGAAAATCTATACCTTGCTGAATGTACCCAAAATATAAGTAGTAACTTTAATAAATTAAAACTTACAAGGATTTGGTAAATTAATTTTACAAAAAAAAAATTTAAATCATATATACAGTTATAGAAATCGGCCTAATCACAAACAAAATGTTTGTCTATAGATTTAAGTTTAAGCTGCATGATTTTGAAAGATTTTCCTTTTATACTATTCAAAAGAACTCGGGAAGTTGAAAACATTACAAACATTACACAGAAATATCAAAAGTTCTTTTAAGTGTTTTGACATAAACATTTTGAATAATAAACCAATGTTATCTCGCACAATATGACAACACATAAATTGCATTACGGCGGCCTGACAGTATCGCATTTTGCGATATAAAACTTCTGGGGCGGACTCACCTTCGTGTGGCACATACAGATTCAGATACAGACAGTCCTCGCTTTCGGTTCGCAGATATGGCAGCAGGCGACTGAGGTGTTTATGACGACCACGGGACATGTTTTCGCTGCCGTGGGCAAAAAGATCCGGCAATTTTTGCGGACATACCGGTGGAAGATGCCGCGCTATTTTCAGTCCCTGCCACGGCAAAGGGGCACCTGAAAGTATAGTAAATTATATAAAAATATAAACGATTGGGGAAGAAACTAAATGTTTCCTAAAACTGCCGGATTTTTTGTTAACATAATAAATAAATAACGTAGCTTATACATTTCAAATAAAATAACAATCCCTACTTTTATTATATTCTAATTACGTATTATGTTTGCCTATATTTTGGTTGATATATTTTTATATTATACATAAGAACAAAATTTCTCTACACGAATACTTTTCGTTTAATAAGTTTATTTTTAATCTACGGACTTCTGGAAGGATCTACTCATATGTCCGAATACAATTTTTTCCGCACGTTGCACAACACGTTTTTCTTAAATTTTAGATGTCCCAGCAGAGAACAGACAGCAGAGCACACAAAACGACATCCTAGCCCATTGTGGCCGAGCACATTTCGGTATTCCTTTACACTGTTTCGTAGCCATTCGATTGCTTTCGAAGGGCTGTGGCCAAAAAGTCAATTCCGTATTTATGTAACACGGTCAACAGGCACTTGAAAACGCCATAAACAAGCAAGCACAGACACTGACTCAAAACCCCACAACTCGGACTTTCTGCACACAAGTGCCATGGAGACCAGGGGACACTCGGTGTTCGAGGTTTGGTGTTTGGTCCTCTCTGGATCCGATTCGTGGCCAAGTTGACTGCGGTTACGCTTTGGTGTTGCAGTTAACGTCAAACCGTGCTCGCAGATGCGGAGAATCGTCGGTAAATGGCCAACCACGATTTGGTCAAGTTAGTTCGGATTCCGGTCACCGCTTCCAAATCCAAGTCTATGCGGTTATCAGGACGCTGGAAGGGAACAGGACCACATGCCAATCCATCTCGGCGGAGGGTTGGCAAATCGCTTACAAATTTTGACACCGCATTGTTACGGCTTCAGATTGTTTTGCGGTTATTTAGGAGCGATCGATATGCAAATACCAGGGTTTAGGCAAATTAAGTGGCTTCAATCACACAGCCTTGATTGAAAATATTATTGCAAATTTGAACACGAATTGAGTGAGCGCAACCAACTCAATAACAATATTAACACAAGGGGATGTCAGTAATTGATTCAAGACAGAGCAAAATACCACAGAGAGAAACAATGCTAATTTGATTTTATATTGAAATGCTCTTTATGCCCTGATAAATTGTATCCATATTATTTGATATGCTCATTAATTTATTTTCCTTAATATATTTTAATATTCAAACTCTATCTTTTAATTATAATTCTATTGAATTTTTGATTTAAAGTACATCTACAGAACTCGAGAGGCCAAACCAAGATTATTCACATGCTTTTCAATTAAATAAAACATTTGCTTAAATTATACATATAGAAATACAGTCGCTTTGGGTATGACTGCTGTATTTATTTCCTCTCACTGCATACAATTTCAATTCCAACAAGTTTATTCATCCCAGAAGGTGAGGGTCTGATATCCGAAATCAATGCCGAATTCAATTTTGTTGCTGGCTGGACGCCCCAAAAATATGCAACATTTACACTTTGACACATTCGCGGAGGCCAAATTTCATTTTGTCGAGTTATTGAGCTCCTAAAAATACAAAGGAAAGAGCAAACTCCAAACGCAGATTCAATATGCGAATGTGAGCATTATTTGCATTTTGTTATTAATAAATTTCGGAAAAGTGGCAAAAGGAAGAGGTTCTTGTCTGCGAAACCGGGAAACTCCTGCGGAAACGGGAAACGCAGAGCCGAATCGAAAGCGACGTGTATTTGTTTGGCCGCCGTGCACAAACAAAATCTATCACACGAACGTTCAGCGCCTTGTTTGCATACGGGTTTGGTTGTCCTCCGCTTTGACAGGCTCTTCACACATTACGCATACGCAACGTGGGCATATTTGCATTGGCTTATATTTGCGGGGCGAGTTTCAAGGCAAGTTGTATCAGCGACAGCGTGTTTGCAGTGGCACACAAACAACAACTTCCCCCGACAAATATGGCGTCGCTGGCAGCCTCCAGTTGTTTCTGCCGCTTGTGTTGCTGCCACTGATGTTGCTGCGGTGCAGCGATATGTTGCCGCCGTCCGCTTGGATTGAGTGCACGGCACTCGAGTGCTCAATAAACTCAGCGCGACAAACGGCGGAGTGCGAACTGGAAGCTACCACTGGAAACTGCAACTGAAAACTACTGCCAGCCCATCTGACACGCAAATCGCGGCCGGCGCTTTCGACAGCCCCCGGGGCGTGTTAATTTATTGTCCTTACGTAATGCGATTCAAAAGCACGGGACCATAGAATGCTGCTACACTTAAAACTTTTAGGGTGCTTTTGAGTAGAAAAACTTGCTAAGGATTTTTCATCCTGAGATATGTAAATTTGTTGTTTGTTCAACACAATTATTGAAATTTATTTATTTCTTTAGGTATTAAATGAAAAATCTTTGTGCTTCAGGTTCTGTGTTCTTAAATTTAATCCACTTATCACAAATACTTTACAGCAGTTACAACAGTTTTCAAGAATTTAATTTAAATTCGAGCTCTATAAATTTCGATTTGAATTTTGTTGTGAGATTTGATTAAGCATTAATTTTGAATTTATGAAAAGGGGAACACTTCCTAATGATATTATGTAATTTCTTAGTTTCAATTAGAAATCTTTATTTTAATTCATTTGAAAAGTTAAGGAAAAGCACAAAATAAAAACCCACAAATAATAAAAATTGACTAGTCGTCTCAATTTTTCTCAGTGTGATTCGTGGGAGACCGGAGAAGCCAGCGGCAAGGAGGAAGTTATGGTGCCAACACCCGAGGCTTCGCCTGTTTATGCTCGGGACAGCGGGACAAAGGACCAAACTTTGTCTGGAGTGTTGGCAGCTTGACGGCCACAAATCTCACACACCAGTTGGCACCGGCAACTTAAATCATGTTTTGATAAACAAACTTAAAATACACATAATACTAGCAATTTTCACTCTTAATTAAACAAGCAAAATATGCGTATACAATGCCCCAGCATAATCGCCAGACATATGGTCAAATGAATGGCCAAACTGGGGAGAGGTGGCTCGAATTTACATTGAAATCCTTGTAAAAACAAGCTGCAATAATAATAGCCATTCGAGACAGGAAGCACACACACAGGCACGTGCTTTCAGCCCGACATCCTGCAATATTGGTGCTGCAGAGGGCACATGTCAGGTTGTGAAAGCCTAATGCCGGGCCGGCTACAACGATAATTGCTTAAATTGCAGGCTAAATTCTAAGTGCCCCAGCAGCGTTCGCAGGACCAGCAGGATGTTCTAACACGGACATCAGGAGGAGTGTCGGGGCATGTGTAGGCCAGCCAAGGAGCCCCCTTCCCGACTCGAGCTTTGGGGTTTTTGGGGTTTCGAGGTTTTCGGGTTTGCCTGTTGGTGCTGCAAAGTGGCAATTTGCCATCATATTTGCGGTCACAAGCAGTGATGGCGGCCTACGGCGGGAAACGTATATGAAAGCCCAAATAGCTAGGATATTCCAGCTTATTGAGTACCCTCAAAAAAACGATGTCCTATTAAATTATATAAACGGCTGTTCTTAGTCGTGTGTACTAATTTTCATTGAATTATTTTTATCGCTTCAAATAATACGTTTTAAGCCTCTTTTGCCGTTTATGGTCAATTAAAGCAACAATGCCTTTTGTTGTGGATAAATATCATTCATTTTAAAATAAACACAAAGCTATCATTACAAAATAAACATATGTTCAGCCGCTTTAAGCCAGCTTAAGTCCAGGGGTTTTCGTTTTTGTTGACTTCATTGATGATTTTGTTATGATGATTATTCAATCATGGAAATGTGTTTTTTGAAAACATGTGTTAAGATTATGAGATATAAAAATCAGGTAGTTTAAATGTGGTTTTTTGTCCAACCCAACAATCGTGCTATCAGGAAATGCAGGATACAAAATGAGAATGCCAAACAATAACTTATAAATGTTAAATAACGCTTTTAGTAAGTTTTTCTTTTGAATTTTTTTGTTTATTTCCAAGACAGCTTTTCAAGCTGGAAAAAATGGTTTACGTACTAGTGAAATCATTTAGTTTGTATGCCTCATTGCTAAAAAGCTAAAATTTTTATTATAACTTCTGTGGCCTATACGTATAAAAAAGACGTAGCACAAGCTTCTTAATTCATTTCAACTAGATTTTTACTTATATAAAAAGTATAAGTGTACACTATATGACTTTATACTTTTCGATACCACTTTCAAAAGCAAGAAACTTTTGGAAAAGTTTTTGACAGAAAGCTTTGAAACCTAAATTGTAATACTTATGAACCTGATATAAGTAATATCACACTTTTACTCTTTGAGGACTTTACCGCCAGCTTATCCTTTTGTATTTTAAATGCAAATTGCATCTTCTTTAAACTTTTCGAAATTCTTTTTATCGATATAATTTATCGAGTGTGAACGTCAAACTGAACCAATAACCGGAACACCCTTTCAACATGCAGTACGACCCCTTTCTTGTTTAGGCACTAAATTTAAGCCCGTAAGCGTTTAAGTTGAGGACACTCACCCGGTGGCATGAAGCGGCGACTGCCGGTGGGCGCCTCCGCGTATGGCAGTCCCAGAAATTGGTCCACTTGGCGCAGCCCGCTGGTCACCTGGAAGCGCCTGGTGATGCCCATGAGGCGGCCCTGCTTCACCTGGATCTCCTGGGTGTACTGCAGCTTGTCGGGGACCACGTGTCGTCGCCCCGGGTGATGAGTGGTCGTCGCCTCGCCATCGCGTCCATCGTCGGTGGCCAAAAATGCGGCCGAGGGCAGTTCGGTGGCAGTTGCGTCGCCTCTGGTCGTTTCGTCGCTGGAGAAGAGCTGGGACAATGTCTGCCTGAATTGCAGCTCCAAACTGGGCGGGGCGGCCTTGGCTGCTCGCAGAAACTGATGGCCAATCGATCTGGCATCCGGAACCGGCTGAATTGTCGTCGTGATGTCCCCGATAACCCGCGTTTGCTTTGAGGTCTCACGCAATTTCATTGCGTTTTCCAGTTCATTTCCTTTGTGCAACTGCCTGTCGGCCGCCACGCCCCAGTATCCAACGTGGCTTAATTGCCAGTGATTGCCGCCAACTGTCAGCAGAAATAGCCAAAATGCTGCCAAACGAAACTTCATGGCTTTGTTTTCCGCCTCCTGCTCTTTCCTGCTGCGTTCTGCTATTTTCGATATTAATTTTGGTCTTACACTCGGCTATCCGCAAACTTTTCACATTCCGCTCGTGTTTGTCTTTCCTGTTTGGTTAATTGTTCTTTTTCCCGGCTCTCACTGTTTTTCCTACTTTGTTGTGCCCAACTGAATGCTTACATTTTCGTTACTCTGTATTTACATGGATTTCCTTTGAGCGCCTTAAATAGTTTCCACACTTATTTACTTCCAGTATTTAGCATTCTCCATTGTCCAATTCTTTCTGTATTTTACTTTAGTTGCTACAAAAGTTTTGCCTGCTTTTGTGTGCCGGTACATTGTAAGAGAAAAGAAAAATGTTGGTAAAAACCACTAAGCAAATTAAAGGCTCCGGGAAATTGTATTATTCCTTAACTTTTGTTAAACAAGCGTACAAATATATACAGGGAAGCAAACTTTTCGTGACACTTTTTTAAGTTGAGGGTAGTTTAAATATTTTATGGGATTTCCAAGTGCAGAAGAAGTAATGTATATTTATCTTGACTTTCAATAAAAAGGCAATACTTAAGAGTGAGGAATTTTCTCTGTCGAATTTTTCCGCAGATCTCGTAGTTCGTTTGTTTTCTTTTTAACAAATAATGTATAGTAAAATCGAAATCATAAAAAATATTAACGCCTCTGTCTGAATGAGTCATCTTTCAGCTCTTAATGCCACTGCATTTTTCAATTGACATGCCCCTCATGTGTGGCATGCAATCATATGCTACTCATTTTCAGAACTTCAGAAATTATTTTAAGCCTCTTCGATGGAATGGGGGAAGTCATTTATTTATAGTGCCCATTAGTTATGAGCGCCTTTAGACTTTGGACTTTGTCAAATCGATTCGATCGAACTGAAGTGAATGGAAACGAAATGAAAGGAACTTCCGACTCATTATTCGAGTGTTTTCCACGTTAAAATGATAAGATGTTGCCATTAAATCGAATATTTGTATACAAATAAGAGACACTGAACAAATGTCCGTCATTCAGGTCTTGACATATGGAAAATGAGCTCGGAAGACTTTTTCGAATTTAGTGCCGTGCAGTTTCTCATTTGCGTAACGTAAACAAATATCATTCAGAAGTAAATGGAATGGAAAAGCCAGTCCATAACGAAAGATTTCCCATGACGATTAATCATAAAAGCAGAAATACCAATGAAAATTCAATTAGGTTCCTCTGTTTCTTTTCCATCTCGATTTATGTCGACACGCCAGCGAAGTGAGCTAATTTCGCTATAATAAAAGTAAAACGCACGCAAAATCTAAAAATGAAAAGGAATTTAAATGTTTTTTTTACGAGCACGCTAAGAAAAGCGCAGTGTCGATGGGGGAGGGGGTGGCACATGGGGGGCACATGTGTGTGAGGGCCCAAAATGTGTGACGGAGTCTGCGAGTGTGCGCCCGAGTATATATCAAAATAATCACAACGCACTGACACACTAAAAGCATTTTTCACAATAACAACAAACTAAATGGAACAAAAAATAAAAAGACACAAAAATAATAAAGGAAAAAGGCGTCGAATGAAAAGCAAACGCTTTTTTTGGTTCTTACTTTAGCTTTAAAAAAATATATATGCGCTAGTGCAATTTCCTTCTTTAAGAGTCTCAAAAAAACTTAAATTGTTTATTGCTGATCTTGATTAGAAATTGCAAACTTTCATTCATTAAAAGTTTATAATGTGTTTTTCATTTTGAATGTAAATAAGCAATTTTTATTTATATTTTCTTATTTTTCTTATTGTACAGTTTATTACATTTCAGGTTTCAAGAAAGAATATTATGACCAGAGAATAGTTTGCATTAGCAAGCCCCAAGGCACTACAAAATATTTTTTGTTATTAAATTCTTATTTATTGCACATTTTACTATCCATGGATATGGTTATGTGTACACGTTTTCTCTACAAACACACATAAATGTCAAGGTATATTTGCTGTGAACGTAAAATTGACCTTTGTTAAACGAGTAGAATGGACTGTAAAAGTGCTGTGATGAAGTGGAGTTTATCGAAGCACTACGGCAGCCGTAAAAATCTCATAAATTCTTCTACCAACTCGATGGCTACCTAATTGAGTCAACGAGAACGGATGTTGCTTTTAAGCTATTTTGTTATAGCTCTTCTATTATTTTTAGAACAAAAAGAAATAGAAAATCAATCCTATTTCTGTGATGTTTTCTTGGCAATCTGTCGGTTTAACGCATCCACTAAGTGAAAGTAAATTAAGACAGCTGTCGGTGGCCATTAAATGCAAATTTCGAAAAACGAAAGCCAAAAGTGCAGGAGCTACAAATGCTCGCTACTAAAAATGGGACTAATAAAAAATAAATACTGAAGAACAGATAGAAACACAGTGGCAATGCAAATTTAAACAAAACGTACAGCGGTAAAAATAAACACCAAGTGCTTAAAAATAAAAACGAATGAGCAAAAATATTCACGGAATTTTCGTTGCATTGTCCGCGCACTCCACGAAATGTCGTCACCAAAGGCAAAAATAAATAAATAGAAGAATTTTCGAAAATAAGAGAGAATCACAAGACAAACTTGCCAGTTGCCAGTTGGCAGTTGGCAGCTGGCGAAAAGGAAAACGCACCAAACGGAAACAAGACGGGAAAATGGGAAAATCAAGGAGAGCTGGCAGAGCGGGAAAAGTGCAATTGGAATTTAAGTAAAGTGATTTGATTTGGATTACTCTGTCGCGAAGTCACTTATTTTCTGCCGGTCCACTTGGCCTGGTCAAAACAATTCGACGAATGCCTTTCTGCCTCTGACGAAGTCACTCAGCTGAGCAGTTGGCATTTCGATTGCAAAAGCGCGCATTTTGTGGGTCAATTGGTGTGCCCCGACCTGCTTAAATAAACTCTGAACGGGAGCGAAAAGGGATCCGTCTACGGACCGCATAATCGATACCGAAACACTTTTGACACAGTTCCCCAGCAGATGTGACACTGTCATAAATTATTTTCTTCCGGCGAGGTAGCAATCCCGGCGAGAGTTGGGATTCCTCCAACGCTTTTGTGATGCAAATGACGACAGAAGGTCCACGGAGCAGGGGTCCCCTGGGTTAAGCCCCCAACCCGAGAGGAACAACATTGTACATCGCCCGGACACAACGCAAAATTTGCATAATTAGCACAGAAACGTCGACGCATCGAAAGCTGTCACTTTCTGACAGCCAAATGAAATGGGAACTACAAAGTACAAGCAAACAAAAACAAGTTATTTGCAACTAATTTTAGCGGACTTGCAGAAAATAAAATTTGGAAATGGGCGAATGCAAAACCGTGACAAAAAGTTCAACAAACCCCAAGCTAAATGCAAGAGATCGTGCCGAATTATTTCGAATTATGAGGTTTATTTTTGGTCTCCCTCGCAAAAACACACACAAGTGGGCGGTGGGCATGGCACACTATCGCGCAAATTAAGTGAAATGTTTATTTTTAAATAATTCGGTTACACGAATATCGAGCGAATTATTTAAACTTTTAACACAATTGTTTTGTGCGATGAACTGGCTTTGTTTGCTATTCGGTTCTAGTAATCTCGTGTAAGCCGTGTATTTTAAAACCTAAATATACGTAGTTTATAGATAGACTTGAATTTTAGTCTAACTGCTAGGTGCTTAAGTTAATTCGCTTTGTCGGATAATCTGCGCAAAATATTCTTGTTATACATATTATTTTGCCTTTATTATATTTTGCTTGTTTATATATTATATATATTAATAGACGTCAAAGTGTTTACAGACGTCACGCATCAGAGATTTTATGCATATTTACTGATATTTGCACAAAATTCGAGATAAATTTAACGAGCTTATAAAGTTCATGCACTTGGAAATACTTTGGATATTTGTCTACAAATAAGATCATTATATTTCTCAATAAAACCAAATCGACGTGGTCATTTTTAGTTAAAGGAAGGCCAATGATGCACACTAATTTCGTTGCTAATTAATTTTACGGGCTATTTCACTATTGCATTTTCGATAATTATGCGCGTTGTCAATTTCGAATTTGCATTTACCAATTTGCGCTTAATTTCTTGTATCTTTGATGTGCCCGATAAATGCGCAAAACAATTTTGGCAAGGGCTGTATTTTCATTTGTCACTTTCTGTGGCTTTGCACACAAATCGAAGACTTTTTGATTATTTTTCATTCAGTAACGATTGCAGCACACTTAAAATAAATCACTCTCCGACTACTTTTCTTTTTCGAACTGATTAACTTTGGTGCCTTCTGCGCGTAAACATTTTCACTTGAGCACTTGGCACGCGCTCTGTTTGTGTCCCCTTTTGCAGATATTTTCTGGGCGTTATTTTTGGATCACGCACAAGATTTATTTCACTGCTGTTTGGCTTGGCACAAGATTTTCCCCCTCGGAAACGAAGCGAACAAGGGAGCGATGTTCGACCGACACGATCCGCGTTCAAACTGCAACTGCTCGGTGGAAAAATGCCTGATCCGGCGGAAGAATTGCTAAGAATTCCCGGGATCTTTTCTCTTTGACGATATCTTCTCTTTGGTGAGAGAATTTCACTTTTTGTACCAGAAGCAAATAAAAATTATATTATTTTTGGTTGTTTACGAAATATTTGTCATTTACAAAGCATATAAAAACAGCTTGCTTAAGGTAACAACGATTATTGAGAAGCTTATTAATAGTATTCTGGCTATATAACAAAGTTTAAGTTAGGTTTAAGTTAACTTACCATCTTACATATAAATCTAATAAATAAGAAAAGATAAAGCGATAGATTAAACACAATATTTATAATAACATTTTGTTTAATTTTTTTTAACTTTTTCTGTCAGTTAGTTATCAATAAGATATCAATTTTATTCGTATTCCATATTCTAATGCCATAAATTACTATATCAAACGCAATGCAAATTAGTAATTCAATATTTCAGATTGCATATTCCAGCAAATAGTGCTCCCTGAACCTGTTTTCCATATCTCATTAAGGTGAAATTTCCGCTACTTCCGCTCCGTGAATACGAAAATAAACATCGTTTGATGCCAAACGGAATGCTTTTTCCCTTATCAAAGACTTCCTGCCGCAAATCTATCCCTAAGTCTAAGTGCACTGAAGGTAGCCAAGTTAAAGTCTTAAGCCAGGTTGGCTGTTAGCCAAGAAGCAAAGAAAGAAAAATGCAAATAGAAAAGAACTCCCCCAAAAGAGACAAAGCTAAACTCCGGCCTAAAACTACTTTTTTCTTGCATCGCAGCACGCAACAGCTAAGTGACTTGTTTGACTTCTTCATTCTGCCTTCACTTCATCGCCAATTTGGTGCGGACAGTAAATAAAGGGGAATATCTGAGGATATGGCCAGTGCCAACCTGAAAGAGAAAGGCCAAAATCTAGGGAAAATAGGTAACCGATATCAACCATGTTTTACTCTTTTACTTCCAAGAAAAATGTAATTTTATACCATATTTGTTGAGTAGAAATAGTAAGTAAACAAGCTTTTTATCTGCCCGAGTGGTTTATTCGTTTTATTTCAACTTAATGTTTTTAAATTAACTAAATTACTAAATTAAATTTGTCCTTCTGTTTTACTTAATTTTTTGTATAAGGAATAAATGAAACGCTTTATTAATCAAAGTGGAAACAGGTACCTATGGGTACAGCAACCCATGCACAACCCATCACTGATTGCAGAAAGGCTGGAGTGGTGCGGGAACCAGATCCTAGGACCAATTTTCGCACCTTTCACACCCATTTCAAGGTGTAAAGGAAAAAGCCAAAAACGGCTGTCAGAGTTCCACGATGGGCTTTCTTTTTTTTTTCTTTTGGGCACACACAAAACCCCACCGTTCAGGGAAATTGATTTACCCGGCTGACATTTTGGAAGTAACTCGAGTAGCTAATTTACGACCATCAAAGTGCGCCAATAAATTTTGTTTAATTGCAAGTTAATTAAAATCGAAGCCCTACACTTGAGCCTCTGCGCTCGAAAATACACACACCCAGGGAAAATGCCATTCGAGATGTTGGCAGGAAAATTAAAAATAACTCAAGTTATACGTCAAAGAGCCTGAATCACACGTTCATATATATAAATAAACATAAAAACACACATAAAACCAGATCTTTAATATACCTAGGAAATTCTCAAATATTTCAATTATTTAAATATCTAGTTGTAAACAAGCAGAGCGGCAGGCAACTACTGAAATATTCATCTCGGAAAGGCGATGCAAATTTGAATTCTAATTCCAATTTAGTTCGGCCCAAACGTTTATAAATGTTGTTGTGTTTGCGGGCTGTCAATTTATCTAAAATACATTACTCATCCGAAAGATTTTTAACGTATTTTCAAATAGTTTTGCGTTAGATAAATTTGTGCTTGTGATTTTATGTGTCAAATATTTTATATGTGTGACTTATGGCACTTTAGGTGCCAAATGGCTTTCATAAACAAATTATATCAGCTAGCTGGCAAACATTCTATCAATAAATTTTTGGAAACATGAAAAGAAAATGTGTCTGATTTAGGAATACCTTCCTGAATATATTGTTATAGTTACCTAGCAAGGTTATTGTTTTTATCAAGGGATAAAACATCAATAAATAAATAATTTTGTGATTTCCTCAGGAGAGTAAACTAATAAATTACTAACCAGTTGAGAAAGTGGTAGATGGAATCTAGCCAACTTTTAAAGACATATTTACAGTGCGCCTTTTACCCTTTCTTTATTGAAGCTTAACCAGTTATTCATGCTGCATGACTTAGCTCATTTTTCTTCACAGACGTTTGACGTTTTTATAGCCCATCCGATTCCTTGCTCAATTTCTTTCTTCATTCCCAGTTGCCACATTCCGACAGGGTCAGAGATCTGGGGGCTGAATGACTTGCAATTTGCGATCTAATTAACTTCGATTCCTTCGGCAAGGACATTTACATAATTGCATTTCGTGGTACATAATTCCGCCACGGCCGCGCCCACTTTTAGCCGTAGATAAGAAAAAATTAAACCATCGCAATCAAGTTAAAAACGAAAGTTGCCCATGGCACAGGCGAAAGGATAACTGAAAGAATGGAACTGAAATTAGAAAAGCAAAATGACACAAAAAGCGAGTACGAACGTAATTGTGTTTTGCCGCTGCCACTGCAATTGGATTCTGGCCATATGGCGGCCACATTACACCGAGTTAAACGAAGGCCGTGGAGCGAAAAGGGGAAAACTGTCAAGAGCGAGAGAAAGAGGCAAAGGCGCCGAATGAAAGCCAACACTAATTAAGTCAGCAATGGTCAAGTTGCAGAAATACTAAAAAGAAAAGAAAAGCGAGACCAGCTTTTTTTCGCTGCACGCCAGAATCAAGAAAAGTTTCAGCAGATAGCAGAAAGGCATCCCGAAAAGGAAAAGCCACAGAGGATGATTTAATCCAAGAGTGCACCGGCCCAAGCCAACCTATTTCGGGCTAATTATATGTCTTAAGTCGGAGAATTATGAATGCAGTTAGGTGCTCTTAAGCTGCCATAAAACGGGAGTATTACCAAAAAATAAAGGCGGGAGATCCCTACTCTAAAGTGACTTCAAGTACTTAAGTATTTGACTTGAGGCTGGCGAAGCGCAAAGTGAAGTGCAAATAAATTATACAAAAAATTGCTCAAGAAATGCCCCCAAGAAATGCACTTATCTCTGCCTTGTTGACTCGCCAAAAAAAGTTGTATGAAGTGGAATACAAGACTCGGTGAACTTGCACAGAGAAATATTTTTCGTCCATATTATACTTAAATTAATATATGAAAAAAGTTGTTACATTCTTATAAGGATAAGATATGGGTTGGAAATAACACTCCCGCCCTAAAATAGAGAATTTAATAGAAAATAAATAAAATGTTCCTATTCTTATCCTTTAGTTTTGTGAAAGCTTCAACAAAAAACGGAATTTGAATTATTGCAAACTTATTCTCAGTCGCTCTTTTCCGGACGGAATTCCCCTCCGTAGCCTTGCTCTGAACTTTTCGCTAATCAGGGAAATTCCTCTGCAGCAAAACGAGTCCCACAACTAAATTGAAGTGGTCCAAACCCAATTGAGCAGAAAACACAGCCAACGGCAACTGGGTTCTTCTCATGGGCTTTGGGGCAGTAAATTTGGCGTAAAATAGGCTATTGATTTTTGAGCCCAGCTCGGCAGAAATTTAACTAAACTTGGCTAAAGCGTTAACAGATTTGGCTCTTTGTTGTGATCTGAGTGTTTAAATTCCCATGTGCATATGCAAATGAACCCGACAGTGAATTTCATTTGTTGGCAGTTTAGCATTTAAATCTCTGTGGAGTCTCTTTTATTTGGAATCTGTCTTTCAGTCAAGTGAAACTAAATGACACTCATTTACAATTGTCGCCCTCGAGCTGGGCCAAAAAGGAGGTGTAAATAAACGTTAAGTAAACAAAATCCGCACAAAAAGGAAACTAAACGTTGACTAAATCAAAACGAGAGTCCTCGGAAAATGGGACCCAAATAGGAACTGCCCTTCAAGTGGTTAGCCGTGGAAAGTTGAGGAAAATAAAAACGCTCCACGACCGCACTCTGGACTGTCCACTTGTATTAAAGGAAAAACGCCGCAGGCATTTTAAGTGTTGTTAATGCCGATGCGGCGGCGGCAGCAAAGTTTTTCCACTGCGCAAATGAAACAAGTTTCCTTTAGTTTTCCTTTTTTCGGCAGCTCCAGCTCACGTACCTCGTCCGCCCATTTTTATGCATTTATAAAAACCATGGGACTTCAAACTGAAAAACAATCCAGGGAAGAGTGGAAAAGTTGCGCCGCTTTTTGTTAACGCGTCGCTGCTTACGTGTGTGTGTCATTTGGCCCAAGTCCCTCGCTGCCCATCTCATTTTGGTTCAGCTTCCATTAAAGTGGTGGTCAGTGGTCGGTTTGTCCATGTAAATGGCATCCGAGATTCCGCACAACTTCCAACTAGAAGGGGATTAAGTCATTCCTTTCATCAAACGCTCTTAACAATTCAGAAAGCAACTAAGTTTGACCTGGAATACTTTATCCACCAGTTATAAAAGGGGTAGCTATAAAGCTTATCTCTGTGTTAATTATCGTTAAAAATGAGATTGAAATTTCTTTTATAAGTAGATAAAGCACGATAATTCAGTTCAATTATGTAATTATTCAATTTATCTTAATTTCTTACATTTTTTTTGTTCCGCTTAAGCGATAATTCCTATTACTCTGATAATCAAGTGCCTTTTAATTTAATACAACTTAATTAAACTATCACTTTGTTTATCTGGCACTAAACTTGACTATTATTTGTTTTTTCTTTAAGGGCAAAGGTAATAAATGTTTACGATGACCCTCAAAAAACTACTCTGGCTCTTGAAATATGAATTAATTGAGCTGTCTCTGTCATTTGCATTCAATTAGCCTTTTTGTTATTGTTACCGCACTTTTCTTTCGCATCCTTGTGATTATTAAACATTTTGCAATTCAAAT